TTACCATAAAAATAGTTAAAGTTATGCTCAAACTGACGGTTTTACAATAAAATTAATGTACACCCATTGTACACAAGACTTATTGTAACCAAAATGGATTGGTAACTTGAAAATATACTCCTACTTTTTTGTCTTAACTCTATGTATAAAAAGTAGAGGTGATCAAAGTTGGTTCGGTTCGTCGGCCCGGCCCGACCCATCCTGATTTTGGGCAGATTTTTTGGCCCGAAATTTTTTTTTTTGGGCGGGTTTGGGAATGTGTTTTTATGCATATTTAGTTGATTTTTTTGGCCCGATCATTTTGTGCGGGTTTGGACACAAAAAATTTGGCCCGAAGTTTGGCCCGACCCGACCCGAGAATTGGGCACACAACTTTTAGCTTTGGCCCGGCCCGGCCCACCCAATGATCACCTCTAATAAAAAGGATATTTGTTTTTTTTTTTTTTTTTTTTTTTTTTGAAAAAAGTATATTTGTTTTATTTACCTTATGTTCACTTGTATAGTATTATAAAATTAAAATCAGATAGAGACATAGAGTTAATAATAATAAGATAAAAAAAAGTTTAAATAGATAAATTCATTAAATATAATAAGAATTAATAAGTGCTTATTCAAATTCATTTAATAGCTAAATTATAGCAAAAAAATTATGCGAGTAAAACACACTCTAAGCTTAGACACATGCAATGAACATCACAGAGATCGAATTGGTAAGAGGAGTTTACAAACCATTTAATGGTTGTGTTTCTCAAATAGATGTTCAAAATAATATGGGACCAATGAAAAGTGTCGAACATCACATGCGTTACTTCCCTCAATTATATCTCTCTTGCATTGCATGCTTTTATTTTTGGATAGAATTCTTTCAAAACTTGTTGGAAACAGACTTATGACAATGCCAAGTGTTAAACCTAATCTAACCATGATTTAAAAGCAACGAATTGTAATGCATGACTGCTCAAAGACATGCAACATGCAAGACATACAATTGGACAATTTTAATCATTTAATTTTCCAAAAACTAAGTTCTCAAGCCTTTAACAATATCAAGACAATCCTGACCGTTAATAATATTATCCAAACAATCTTATCTTTGAATAATCACCAATAGCTATGCATGCGCATGCACAATAATAGGCTTATAGTTATGCATGGTATATTGACATGCAAGACGTACATTTGTCATTGCTTATCTGTTTTTCTAAATATTTTTTTTTTAATACTTTACATGATATGTTTCTTTAATATACTACCTCCGTCACATATTAGCTGTAATTTTGAAATTATTTATATATCACAAATAATACCCTCAAACTTACAACTAATATGTATTGAATCGGAGGTAGTATAAGAACAATAAGAAAATTTTCGGTTCGATATTACAAAATAACCATGGAAACTATAATGTGTTGATGTGGTGATTGTGTGTAAGAAAAAAAAAATTTGAATATTATAAGAAAGGGTAAAATGGAAAAGTGTAAAGGAAAGATGGATATTAAGGTAAAGTATTAAATTAAGTTTGTCAAAAATATAATAAGGTAATAGTGTAAGGAAATACAAAAGATAGTGATATTCATAAATAAAACAACTTTATCCTTTTTATAGCGATGTTACCAACAAATAAACTTTATCTTTAATACCTAAAAGTCAAAAAAGTCAAGTTATAATTAACTATTTCATTTTATTTGTCTTTGTTACAACATGTAGAAAACTGAAAAATGCAAAAATTAATTAAAGTCTAAAAACAAAGATGGAGTAATAAATATTGTAGTTTTTAAAATTTTACTTCACAAGATAAATAAGATCATCTTTATATTGGAAGTATAGGTCATGTGTTACTTCCTTTATTAATTTTGCATTTTTTTTTAATTTCAATTTGGGATAGAGTTATTTCATTACTTGTTGAAAACAGACTAATTACAATGCCAAGTTTAAAACTGTTATTCATGCACATGCATATTGATAGGCTAATAGTTATGCATGCATATAGATAAGTACACATGCAATTCATACATTTGTCATTATTTTTATTTTATTTTTTTAAAAAAATAGATTCAAACCTAATTTTTTTTGTAAAGCAAACATTCCACATTAATTGATATAGACTATATAGCATAGAGGTATATAACATATAAGAATTATAGTAATAAAGACTGTAGAATCAACTATCTTAAATGGTAAAACAAAAAAATTGAGGGGCCAGGACGTGGTACACATGAAATTGTAGATCAATTCCACTAGCCTTTTATGATCAAGGACTAAGTTATGTTCAAAACAATGAGATCGGATCAATTATATTCCTAATTTTTTTTTTTAAAAAAAAAAAAAAAAAAAAAAAACTGGTTATAAACAATTATAAGATTTTTTTTACAAAAAAGATCTACAATTGAAATAAATTACTTAATGTGTGAAGAGATTTGGAGTAATTTAAGTACACATATTTATATAGGTCAATATGTATACATATTAGATGTGCAATATATGTGTAATATAAGTGTGTATGTAACATATAAAGGGAGTAAAGGGAGCAAACTAGTCTAACAATCCTTAATGATGCTCCGCTATAAACCTTAAAACTAGGAAGACATTAACATAAGTTTCGCCATCATCTATCTCTCTCTCACTAAATTGTCTAACCATCTAACCATACTTAAATAATAATGCGTCTTTAATGCACACATCTAAGGAACACCTTTTTAAATTTGCCACGAGTAACTTACATAATATTGATGGATTGATGTATATGCTGCATGAATAAAATCTAAACTATTTACCAGTCAGTCTTACATAATGTATGAGTACATGATTAAAAATAAATAAATATATAAAAAATTAAAAAATCAATCAGTATAGTATGATTAATTAACACCCTATTTTCTTTAACTTATTTTGATTTCGATTAGAAAAAATAAAACAAATTTAATTAATTTTTTTTATTTAAACATATTCAAGAATAATAATTTTGAACAATTTCTCACAGTCACAAATAAGACATTTTTTTTAACAAAAATATAAGTTCAGGTAACATAAACCCAAAATAGTTAAGATGATTTAGAATGAACCGAAGAGATTAGAGCCTAAAGATGTCTTAAAATCTTCTCTTTTAAATTTACTTACCCCAGTTTTTTTTTTTTTTTTTTATTCATATAGTGTAGGCCCCATAATTGTTTAAATATTTACTTCTTATCCGCTTATAAATAGCGACGAACCCAAGTTTTTGACGAATGTACTCAAATCATAAGTAACATCCACAAACATCTCATCCAATCAACCAACAAAAAATGAAGATGTTTTTGGGTTTCCTAAGTTCAACCGTACTCTTTTTGGTGGTAATTTCTCTACTTCGATACTAGCTTAAATTGATTAGCAATATAAATTGCAAGTTTTATTTATATATACAGAAAAAAAAAAAAAAAAAAAAAAAAAAAAAAAAAAAAAAAAAAACCTCCTTTCATTTAGGAAAAAATCCATATTTTGAATTTTGGACATAATTTAATACATATATACTATATTTATATTCGAAATGTTATTGGATTATTATTAGATTAGTCGCAGTGCATATTTTCATATTACCAACTTTTTATAATTCCGCTCCATCCATGCATGCAGGTTGTGAGTGCTAGAGATGTTGATTTCAGCAAGAAGTCCGAGTTCAAGGAATCAGACTATGTGTTCTTCAACTACAACGACCTCAAGGTCGGGGGCGAAAATGCCGATTTACTTTGGTGGTGCATTCGATGCTGAAATCCCACGTTTTCTTCCTAAGGAAAAAGCCGAGATGATCCCTTTTTCATCCCAAAAACTCCCATTTTCTTCTTAACTATTTTGGTTTCCAACCCGAATCTCCTCAAGCTAAAGCCATGGAATTCAGTCTTAAAAAATGCGAGGGTGAAATTCCCGACGCTAAAGGAGCCAAAAAATGCGTTACCTCTTTAGACTCTATGATCGATTTCGTCCGTGAAACCTTCAAAAGTAGCACTACCAATAACGGTGGTCAGTTGTTTGACGATCTTAAGGTGTTGAGTACAAGTCCACTTCCGAAATCAGCCAAAGTATTTCAACCTTACACAATCATTGAGCAGCCAAAAAGAGTCCCGAGCCCTAAAATGACCGCGTGTCACATGCTGACTTATCCTTACGCGGTCTACTATTGCCATAACCCTGACCCTGAAAACCAAGTGTACGAAATCAGTTTGTTGGGTGAGGATGGTACTCGTGTTAACGCGGTTGCCAGTTGCCACATGAACTCGAATGCATTTGACGCTAATCTCGCCGTGTTCCGTATGTTCAACATTGCACCCGGCTCTCCAGTTTGCCATTTCCTCTCTTCTGATGGCCTGCTTTGGGTGCCTGCTAACCCATCCTCGATCTAATAGTACTACAGCTGCTACTGCGACTACTAGAGTACTAGTACGAGCTCATTAATGAAGCAAGAAAGATGGTGTTTAACTTTCTAATGTCTTTAACTTGGCCATGAACTAGCAAGTATAGCTAGTGTTTAATTGAGTCCTAAGTGTATGCTTTTATTATCGATCAACCGTGTACTTATTATCGATTAATAAAATCTTGTTTATGTACTGTACATGCTTTTGTGTCTTATATTCTTACACTATCTGGCTTGCAATTTAAAGTTACGAGATAAGTGCATAGGTTTATACCGTTATAGTTAGTTATTCCAAAAATTAATGCACAAAAGTTATACATTGTAAAGGTCCAATTTCCAATCACACACAAACATGGCTTCATTCTTAAGACATTGCAATGATAGAGCTACACGCCTACACATGACAGAAGTGACAGAGTCAGGATTTTGAAGACGGGTGTTGACATTATGTCTATGGAGTGTCAGAACTATAAATTACTATACTCCATATAAACATGTATATTGTTAAAAGAAAGAAAAAGAATTTCGATTACAAGCTTTAATCTTTCAAATATCTTTAACTGTTAATTAATAACTAAAAATTATAAATTTACTATACTACAAAAAGCATAATCAAGACGAATCTAACAAAATTGCATATGACACATTACTCCTTAGCTGTAAATCACTAAAGTCAATCAAAATGAAGTATGTAAATAGTATAAAAGTCAAAGTGTTACAAATGTAAAAAAAACGAAGCTGGTATTTAAAGTGGAATATGTACTTGAATAGTACTGTTAAAATCTTACAAGTAAAAAAAAAAAAAAAAAACTGAGCAAGTAAATTAAGTATATAGGCCGGTTTTGAAACATTGTTGGATTACTGATGGAGTGATGGTTACTAACATAATAAAACAATCTTTATCAAGTGACGAGTATCTATTTCGTTGATACAAAATTTTCTTCTGTGAATCTTGCACATTTTAACCACCAAATTTGAATCTTGCACATATTCGAGGAATAACTGTAATAAAAAATTGGGATGTGTTCCTGCATTAAGTTAAAAGATAAAAGAACGGATAAAGTAAAAAGATATTTCGTATATTCATTGCTAAATAGTCACAAAACTCTTCTTTTTCGCAAGTTCAGAATGTTTGCAAAACCTCTAATTTTCACCTATAAATAATACTTTCATCAATAGCACATACACATTGATTTATTCAATTTCATACAACTCTTCTAAAACCACCTCCAAAACTCAAAGTGTTGCTATTAATGAACCAATTCAACCAAAACTTGAAAGTGTGGATGCATCATATACCCTCCCCATATCCTGTGCGAAATATTCCACTTAAAAGTGGGGGTGATTGAGATTTGAACCCGTGATCTTTGTGTCACGCTGACTCTGATATCATGTTAGTGAACCAAAAGCTTAACTTGATGGTTGAAGCGCAAGAATATGTTTATACTCTTATCGGCTGCAACTATTCAGAAATGAAGTAGTTACTCATATCAGAAAAAGATCAATTTCCCGGGATATTAAATAGGAAAATTTAACAACAACAAACCAACCTTTGTTCCATTCTCCCAAACTGAACCAACCTTTAAATCTTCCAAAAATAAACACAAGTTTGTATTTTTTTCTCTCTTAGTAAACCCAAATGACTTGTAACCTGAATAACCGGTCACTTTGTTTTATTTTCCTTTAATTATCCTATTATCCTTTTTAAGTTAATAAATAAAATAAAAAATTAAAAAAAAAAAAACTCAAACCCCCAATCCACTGCCAGCCCCTTATTCCCTGACCCACTGCTAGCCACCCCTCCTCCCTTCATCTGACGGCGGCCGACGCCCAACCCACCCCCGGTGCTGGTGACCCCACCCTCGAAATCTAAACCACCTTCTCGAAACTACCCTCCTACACCACAATTCACCCCTCAATTATCCACCAATCACTACCCTGTCGCAACACGACAATAGTCCACATCCCCCGCCTTACCACCATTCACCACACACTCCGTCTCCAGCCACAAGGCCCACAACCCAAAATCGCCACCAATTACACTCAACAACACCACTAGTTAGCCACATCTTTCACACCAATACAACATCAATATTGCAGCCACGCATGCAACAACCTACATAATCAACACTCTAATCTCCCTCATCTCACTCTGAACCATCACCTGTCGCAGGCTAGCAACACCTCAACCAGCAACGTACGGACTCCCTTGCAATCACAAAATTAGAACCAAGCAAATCCATTTTCACACAAAGAACCTATCTCAAAGTTCGGTTTCAAATCCTGCTTTCAACCGAGCCCCATTGCTTTCCATTGCTGCCTCCTAGTTGATTCCAACCAGGGTCAAGTTCAAATCCTAACGTGTAGGGCGTCGGCCGCCGGCAGGGGAGGGGGTGGCTGGTGGGGAGGGGGACTGACAATGGTGGTAAAATAAGGGTGTTTTTTTTTTAATTTTATTATTAGCAGATCTTAAAAATAAAAATAAATAAATTTTTTCAGCTATCAGAATTTTCAAAAATTAAAAATATTAAAAAAAAAAAAAAAAAAAAACAATGAGCACATGACACATAGATTACAACCTGGTATAAACAGGTCAAGTGACCTGCTTAATTTGCTACGGGAGAAAAAATACAAACTTGTGTTTATTTTGAGAAGATTTAAAAATTAGTCTATTTTAAAAAACAAAGCAAAGATTAATTTGTTATTGTTAAATTTTCCTATTAAATATAATATTGTCACGTGTTACTTCCCTCAATCATATCTCTTGCAATGCATTATTTTTTCATTTTATAAGACAGAATTTTTTCACTACATGTTGAAAACAGACTAATGAAAATGCCAAGTGTTAAACTAACCCATAAACTTAAATTAGAATTATCCATCTAGCCTTTAACAATGGCAAGAATCCTGACCCTTAACAATGTCAGTAGCTATGCATGCACATGCATAAATAGGCTAATAGCTATGCGTGCATATATGTACACATGCAATACGCACAATTGTCATTATTTTATTTTTTTTAATACTTTTATTTTATTTTTATTTTTTGAAATTAAGTAGACACTAATCTTAATCAAGTGTGTCAAATAAAGTGATACGGATGGTTTAAAAAAAAAGTTGTATTCGGTCTTAATAGTATTTGCTTATCTACTATTATTACTAATTTAATAATTAATGATGATTAGATTTAACCACGAAGCTATGAACTTAACTTTCGGCCTATATATTTCCATCTAGTAATATGTAACTGTAGAGGGATACCATTAAACATTGCATGATTTAGTAATAAATTGAAACTTACTTCAATTCATATCTTCAACTGTAAATATTGCTAATTATCATAAAAAAAATAAAAAAAATTAAAACATGAAAATTATAAATTAAATTGAATCAAACAAGGCTCCAAATAATTATATTTTTCCGTATGAAAAAATAGGGATTATAGTGTGAATAGTGTAAATTTGGAAATGTTTCAGCTTAGAAATGAACGAGTATATAAAATGGAGATCATGAGATCAAATCTTAAACAAAGATTGTATTAAGGTTTATTACTTCCTCCGATCCTTTACTTTTGCCCCATTGTCATTTTTCAGGTCAAACTTTGAAAACTTTGACCATAAATTACCGTTAGTTTATAAAAAATAATATATTTATGAGTGGTCTTGATAGATTCGTCTCATTATATATTTTATTAATATCACGTTTTTAAAATTTTTACGTGCACAGTCAAATGGGGAAAAAACATAAGAGATAGGGGGAATAATACACTACAATACGAAATTATAATAATCACTTATTAGTTATTACTTGACACACTTTAGCTAGACACACTAATTGCACTCAATGCATCAACTTTGACATAGACTACACATTATTTAATCTCAATAACACATCTGTACTCAAGATTAGTCAGATCAAATCAAATTAGACCAGACTAAAAAAAAAATATAGATCAAACCTTAATATTGACATACCAAGTATACCTTTATTAAGATCATGCACTTGTTAAAAATCTACAAAGTACTTTCCTTTTTTTTTCTTTAACCCAATTCCTATAGTGTAGGTCCCATGCTTGATTAAATTACCAAAACTTATCCGCTTATAAATATCAACCCAGTTTTTGACGAATGTACTCCAAACTTAAAACTAATATCCACAAACATCTCACCCAATCAATCAACAAGTAAGATGAAGATGTTTTTGGGTTTCCTCAGTTCATCCGTTCTGTTTTTGGTGGTAATATCTCTAGCTACAAACTCTTAGTCTTACTTATATTGTTGAGCAATGTATATTGTACATATTATAAAGAAATATCAAATAATGTATACTTTAATTAATTACGTACCATATAGTAATATATGAATGCATGCATGCAGGTTGTGAGTGCTAGAGATGTTGAGTTCAGCAAGAAGTCTGAGTTCAAAGAGGCAGATTATGTGTTCTTCAACTACAACGACCTCAGAGTCGGGGCGAAAATGCCGATTTACTTTGGTGGTGCATTTGATTCTGAAGTCCCAAATTTTCTACCTAAGGATAAGGCTGATATGATCCCTTTCTCTTCCCAAAAACTCCCCTTTCTTCTTAACTACTTCGGCTTCCAGCCGGAGTCTCCTCAAGCTAAAGCCATGGAATACAGTCTCAAAAAGTGCGAGGGTGAAATCCCTGATGCTCAAGGAGCCAAAAAATGTGTTACCTCATTGGACTCTATGATCGATTTCATTCGTGAAACCTTCAAAATTAGTAATACCGGCAATGGTGGTCAGTTGTTTGATGATCTTAAGGTATTGAGTACAAGTCCACTCCCTAAATCAGCCAAAGTATTCCAACCTTACACCATTATTGAACAACCAAAAAGAGTACCAAGCCCTAAAATGACCGCTTGTCACATGTTGACTTATCCTTACGCGGTCTACTATTGCCATAACCCTGACCCTGAAAACCGAGTGTACGAGATTACTTTGATGGGTGAGGATGGAACTCGTGTTAACGCTGTTGCTAGTTGCCACATGAATTCTAAGGCTTTCGACCCTAACCTCATGGTCTTCCGTATGTTTAACACTCAGCCAGGTTCCCCTGTATGCCACTTCCTTTCTTCTGATGGTCTACTTTGGGTACCTGCTAACCCATCCTCGCTCTAGAACTACTGCTACTTCTACTAAGCGTTGATTTATGATGCAAGAAAATTGGTACTCCACTCTCATCGTACTCGGATCCCCTCTATCGAGTAAGGAAAAGTTGAACTGTTAGTGTTGTTTGTTCTTGTTTTAACTTTCTAATGTTTTTAACTAAGTCATGTAAAGGACTCCCATAAACTAGCAAGTGTAGCTAGTGTTTATTGGGTCCTAAGTATCTGTTTTTATCGATCAGATGTGTACTTATTATCGATTAATAAAATAAAGTTTGTGTACGTACTACTGTGTCTTCTACCTATAGACTCATATTTAAAGTCATGAGATATCGAGTTATAATCAAATATAAACAATCTGATTTTCATTAAATAGAAAATCAGTGCTACTGATAACATATACAGATACCATCTGAAATCTACTCGTAGACACAAGCTGTCCAAAATGATTTATACGAAGTATATAAGTTTGTACACTAATGCAGGCAAAAAGTATGTAATATAATTATATACAAACTAAATGATCTGCTGAAACGACGATTGTATTACCTGATCTAGTGCAAAATCTCCCAATGCAAGCTTTGCGGCCAGTTGACAGATTACCAGTTTTCCATGACAGGGCAATTGATGCAGGAAAGCAAGTACTGGCTAGCAACTTTCGTAGATGAAATGCTTCTGTATATAGCATTATAGCTCAGGCCGAATATACAACAAGAGATTGTGTCATTCGTTAAGTTTAAGTCTTCCATTAGCAAATCGAAACCAATCAATATACATCTCTAGCTGAATTTGCTTACAGTATTTCACATTAATCAGTTCTGTAACCCGGGTTTGACATTATCATCCTTACAAAAAACTGTTCCTGTTAGTATTTATCATGTTATTTCTAGCTTCAGACTACCACAGGCAAGCCTGACTTCATCCATTACTGATTTCTGTGGTTTCAGACCTGCAGCCTTCATTTCGTACAAGGTCTTTAAGGCGTCAATGTACAATCCATGGTGTATAAAACCAGTAACCATCGCGTTCCAACATGCATTGTTTCGTTTCCTGCGATCCATCCTGTCAAAAACTCTCTTAGCATCATTCAACAATCCACATCTCCCATACATGTCAATAAGAGCACACATCACAAAAACATGACTGTCAAACCCGAGTTTTATAGCATTGGCATGAATTTGCTGTCCAAACAATCCACCATCACCTACTCTTCCACAAGCCTTAAGAACAGTAGAGAATGTATACTCGTTCATCCTCACTCCGGCCTCGCCCATCACCCGAAAAATTCTTATCACCTCTCCAAAACATTGTTCGCGGCCATTGTTAACTATAACACCAGTCCAAAGCACAGTATCGCGATGATCAACTACACGAATAAGGTCAAAGAACACATGATTAGCCTCCATTAAACACCCAGATTTTCCATAGAATTCAACCAATGCAGTGTCAACAACTAATCCTCTATCATAACCCATTTTAAGCATCCACCCATGAACCATCTTCCCCAAATCAACCTCCTTTAAATGTACACAAGCCTTAAGAAAAACTAACCAAAACAACTTCCAAACCCGAATCAAACTCCTGATAAACAAAACATCTATACATCTTCACAAACAACCCTAAAGCTTCTTCAAAAAGATGATTATCAATAAGGGCAGCCATCACAATAGCCAAAGAAATAAAATTTCTGCGCGGCATTTCATCGAACAGTTGGTGTGCAACATCAAAACAACCACAACTCACAAGCATCAACAAAATTCGATTAAGCAAGCACAACCCAGTAGACCCCTTCAAAAATCTAACAATTCCAGCGTTTTTCTTCATGTGAGTATAAATTGCTGCTGCTTCAATGGCGTCTCGTTTTTGGGTGCATTCAACAACAAGAGAAACATAAATATCGGTAGTAATTATGTAAACATTTTCACGGAATTCATACATTTTTTGAAATTACTAAACATTGCACCCGGCTCTCTAGTAAGCCATCTTCTAGTGTGTGATTGGAGATTGGACATTTGCAGTCCATAAACCTAACTTTTATGCATTGATTTTTGAAAAAATGAACAATAACCAGTCACCACTACCCAATGTTTGTTAATCGATTGTGAACGAACTACACTTGATATCCCGTAGCTTTGATTTTGCAAAACAATCAAAGATAGATAATATAACACCCAATACCCCAATAGGAGGATGTCCTAGTTACTCACTGTGAGAAACATAAAATGTTTTTCACAGTGGCAATTCGTAAATAAAATGTACCACTTTAGTCACGATGATACGAAATTGTTCAGGGTGGTACAAGAAATAGATGATAAAATTGTACCACTTTAGTCACGGTGGTATAAAAACCCCTGTGATGAGAAACATGGATTTAGCGGTAGTATAGTACTTGCACATAAACAAGCTAAGATTTTATTAATCGATGATAAAAACATACACTAAGGACCCAATTAAACACTTGATAGTTATGGGAATCCTCTTCATAGCCAAGTTAAAGACATTAGAAAGTTATAAACAAGAACAAACTACACTAACATAGAGTGGATCTGAGTCCGATGAGAGTGAAGTAGCATCTTTCTTGCTTCATTAAAGAAATCGTACTAGTAGTCGCAGCAGCAGTAGCACTATTAGATCAAGGATGGGTTAGCAGGCACCCAAAGTAGGCCATCAGAAGAGAGGAAATGGCAAACTGGAGAGTTGGGTGCAATGTTGAACATACGGAACACGCGAGATTAGCGTCAAATGCATTCGAGTTCATGTGGCAACTGGCAACCGCGTTAACACGAGTACCATCCTCACCCAACAAACTAATTTCGTACACTCGGTTTTCAGGGTCGGGGTTATGGCAATAGTAGACCGCGTAAGGATAAGTCAAGCATGTGACACGCGGTCATTTTAGGGCTCGGGACTCTTTTTAGCTGCTCAATGATTGTGTAAGGTTGAAATACTTTGGCTGATTTCAGAAGTGGACTTGTACTCAACACCTTAAGATCATCAAATAACTGACCACCGTTATTGGTAGTGCTACTTTTGAAGTCGATCATAGAGTCTAAGGATGTAACGCATTTTTTGGCTCCTTTAAAGTGGGGAATTTCGGCCTCGTACTTTTTAAGACTGAATTCCACGGCTTTCACTTGAGGAGATTCGGGTTGGAAGTCGAAATAGTTGAGAATAAAGGAGAGGTGTTGGAATAAATAAATTGACAATTAAAGTGGTAGTTTCGTAAATAAATTGTACTACTTTAGTCATGATAATGCGAAATTGTTCAGGGTAGTACAAGAAATGAATGATAAAATTGTACCACTTTAGTCACGGTGGTACAAAAACCCTTGGTAAGAAACATTTTTTGTTTCTCACAGTCAGAAACATCATGAATTTAGCGATTAAAATGAGACATCTTATATATTTACATATTTATACATACAGGTTGTCAACGTAGCTCATGGATGTAACGACGACAGCGTGAGAGAGTATTGGGGAAAGAAAGCAATTGAAACCCTTTCAGGCATAAAGTCGAACGAGGGATGCCAAAACTCCGGCGAGTATTGGGGAAAGAAAGAAATTGAAGCCCTAGTAGGCTTTAAGTCTAATGATGTACAAAAATTTAATTCTATTGTGAAAGACTTTAAGTTTAAGCCTAATCAATGGCAATATTTGGATACGAATCCTAATTCGAAAAACGGGGAAACAACAAGCGCGTATTTTGTTAAAGACTTTGTGCCTAAGTCTAACCATGTTCTACAATGGCACCGTGGCGCGACTAGTCATGATGATGAGGTATCCACAACCAAATATTTTGTGAGAGATTTCGAGCCTAAGGTTAACCATGTTCTTCAATGGCACCATGGGGCGGCTAATCCTACCAAGGATGTTTGGCCAACAATAAAATATGTTGTGACCGGGTTCGAGTTCAACTAGCTTAACCGGCTTATTATGGTGTAGCATGCTAGATCAAGCCCCATAGTTTATCTAGTGGCATAAGACTAATCTGACTATGAGTTAAGTAAGTGTCTTTTATAAATAAAGGGTGTTTCTAGGTTTTTCTGGTGTCCTACGGGAGAGTTACAACTCCGAGACTGGATCCACGCGCTGTACTGCAAAACAACAGAGATTCCGGGGTTGGGAGCTGCGCCTCCAACGATCAAGTTAGTACTTGTATGTAGAGAGGGTGATCTGGTTCCTCTAGGGGAGGAGTGATCAGGAGTGGCACGCTCACTAGGACGGGTCTAGCAAGAGTGCTCGTGTGAAGTATGTGGTAATCTGTGTGTAATCAATGAAATTTGTCATTAATGAAAATTAATGACGGTATTTATAGTCTTGAGAAGCGTGCCTGATTCTAGGGTTTTTGGCAAACCCTAGAGTTGACTGGGCTTCTCGCGAATCGGGCCTAGGTGGCATATTTCTATGTAGGCAATCAATGTGCCATATGTCATAGCATAATTGGTCCAAGGAGGAAAAATAGCTGTGAGCCACGTGACAGGCCCTGATGAGCTCAACTGGGAGACACTTGTCAGGACCTGATTGGTCCACGTGGCGTATATTGATTGGGTGGGAAAATCCCCTAATCAAAGGGGGTTTGTTGTTTCAAATCTATTTCATGTACTATTTAGAGTGAAAGTTCATTGATTAGTACTAAGTTGTTGTATGTATGTAACGTCTTTATTTTAGTCTTGCAATGTTCAGTGTTGTTTCCAACTTATGGATTTCATTCGTTCCAAGCTAAGTTAGATAATAACATGGCCTTGATTATTATTGATCGATATGTAGAGTATTTATACAAAACTTACGTTTATAAGATAGGAAATAATTTTCGTAAAAGATATACTAGCATAACCATATATTCTAAATATATATTCACTAAATATTATCTTAACATTAATAATCCTAACTATATTATTCTTCTAATCATATCTACGAAAAAAATTTACCATTTGTTTTTTACCATTAAAACTTTTCAAAGTTATATTTTACGGTTTTACCACACAAAAAATTCTAAAATTATTTTTCACCATCTACCTTAAAAAAACCATTAAATCTAACGGAATTTCAAAAATTATTTGATTTTTGTGCCAAAGACATGGTCTTTATGGTTAGGGGGTTCTAATTTGATGTCAGAATTGACAAAAAATTATCACAAATGTAACTTTTTGCCTACTAAAAAAATACCTCGATTTACGTGAAACACGCAAAAATGAGGCACTTGCAATTAATTTTTTTCAATTCTGACGTCAAATCGGATTCAAATGACCAAAATAATCCCAAAACTTCTAAAGATCATGTTTTTGGCATATAAAGCGAAAATATTTTTGTTACACGTTAGATTTTACTTTTTTAGACCTTTTTTTGTTGGTAAAATAAACTTTGAGAAGTACTACTACTAGTTTGTATCTATTATGTATACAAATTCAGCCCAAAAAATGATGAGGTAGCCCCAATTATATATACTTTGTGAAAGACTTTGAGCCTAAGCCTAACCATGTCCTAAAATGGCATGCCATGGCGCGGCTAGTCAAGATAATGAGGCAACCACAACCAAATATTTTGTTAGACTTTGTGCCTAAGCCTAACCATGTCCTACAATGGCACTATGGCGCCGCTAGTCATGATGATGAGGTAACCACAACTAAGTATTTTGTGAGAGACTTCGAGCCTAAGATTAACCATGTTCTACAATGGCACCATGAGGCGGCTAATCCTACCAAGGATGTTTGGCCAACAATCAAACCTATTGTATGTGATCGGGTTCGAGTTCAACTAGCTAGCCAAACCGGCTTATCATGTGGTATGCTAAATTAAGCCCCATAGTTTATCTAGAGGCATAAGACTAATCTGACTATGAGTAAAGTAAGTGTATTCATAAATAAAGGGGCTTTGAGTAGAATCTATTTGATGTACTAGTTTAGAGAGGACGTTCTTCAGTTATGCTTTGTTTTGCCTAAGGACTACACGAATTGAAGTGCTTAGTACTTTCTCTATTCTTTTTTATTTGACCTGTTTATTTTATCACGCTTGTCAATATAAAACTTTAACGACTAATAACTTTAATTCTCCATAAGTAAAATTATAAAAGTTATATATTATGATAGTACTTAATGAGACGAATTAAAAAAGATCCCACATGAATATGTTTATTTTTCCTTACCTAGTATTCATAAAAGACGATCAAAAGAGAAGTAATAAATAGTGTTAAAGTCAAAGTGGGTCAAGTAAAAAAGAAAGGAAGAAGTATGCACTAAGGTTAGTTGATAGAGTATAAAAACATAATCTTGAGCCTCAACCATTAGCTTAAACTTTTGGTTGGGTTGGTCCTTTAACATGGTATCATAATCAACGTGACATAGAGGTCACAGATTCGAATCTCATCCACCCTCCACCTTTAAGTGGAATATTAAGCGTTGAATATGAGGAGGGCCCACGATGAGCACCTTGCACTTGCTCCCTCTGCACCTTGAGAATGTTGCAAATCTCTAGTTGACTCCCCAATCATCTTATTTCCATAAACGTCCAATGTAGGCTAACATCTCCTTGGTACATCTACTTAGTTGTTGTATGTAGCGTTTTTAATCTAGTCTTGCATTGTTCGTTTATTGTTTCCAATTAACTTATGGATTTCTTTTCAAGTATATAAATCCAGTATAATATAAAAAAGGCATTAAATTCTTACATTATATGTCACAATAAAGTTAATATCGATGATGATTAAATGTATAAGTGAAAATAAAGTTAAACGACGCTCATGTTTTACTGAGTAACTCGCGCATTTTTACTTGAATTGATGATCATATCCTCACTTGTATTCCATGCTATTCCCCCCTCTACCTTACTCTAACATTCTCTCATCCCAAAAAACCACCATCGGCCAAGGGCAAGGCCATCATCGGCAAAAAGTTATTTTTTTTTTATTTGTTTTTGGATCGTTCTTAGTCCTTACAACTTGGGGTAGGATTGTGAGATTCCCTTATCCTTTCCTTTACTCGCAAATGACCTTGTTCGTGTACGCTGACTGAGTTGGCTTATGAAAGCCTTTGTT